CAAGAGGGGGGCGTCCAAGAGGGGGGGGGTGCGAATCATGGCCAGCGGCATGTGCGCGGCCCATGAGAAGGCCAGGGACGTAATGAAATAAGAAGAGGCGCCATGAAATCTGAGGAAACGTCATGGCCCACGCCATGATATCCACCCCCCCTAGTCATCACCCCCCTCTTGGCCGCCCCCGAAGGCCGCTCTCGATCCCAGGGGCGCACCACACCTGGGTCAGCTCGAGCCCTGATCGGCAAGACCCTTGTCGAGAAGCCCGGCCAGCCACGCAGCAGCTCTTGAGCCCGGGTCCGCGGAGGGCGGGGGAGCGGGGTCGACCCAACGTGGCCCCCGAACCTGGGTCAGCCAGAGGGGCTTGACGGACCCCCGCTCACAGCGACGATGGGTCTTTCGTAAGCAAAAAACGGGCAAAGAAACAATTCTAGACGCTTCGCGTGACCCCACCAGCCCATCCCAAAACGATTCTCAGAGGAATTGCCTCGATCAGCGAAGTGGGCAGCACACAAAGGAAGGGTCCCCCAGTGGAGGCCTCTTGGAGCGTCTTGAGGGCCTCTTGGCGGTCCTCTTGGGAGCCTCTTGGAGGCCTCTTGGGCGCCCGTTGGGGCCTCCTGAGGCCTCCTGGGCGCCTCTTGGGGCCCTCTTGAAGCGCTCTTGGGAGCCTTCGGAGCGCTTTTGGAGCCCTCTTGGGCAATCTTGGAGCCACCTTGACGCCTCGGATGGCCATCGGAAGCGAAAAGGCGAGAAAGCCAAAAACACAGATTTTCCAAAAGGTTTTGGAAAGATGTTGGCCTCTTCGGGGCCTCCTGGGGAGCTCTCTGGCCACTTGGAGCCGTCTTGGAGCGGTCTTGGGGCCTCTTGGAGAATCGTGGGAGCCATCTTGAGGCATCGTGGGATATCTTGAGCCATCTTGGAGGCCATCTTGGGCTCTCCCAGGCGCTCTTGGAGTCATCTTAAGCAGTGCCACCCCCCCCCAAGAAGCCAAAATGTGGCCAAAGCCTTAGTAGAATCAATGATTTTGGTATTATCGCCGAGGCCTCTTGGAGCGTCTTAGGTGCCTCTGGGGGGCCTCTTGGGGCCTCTTGGGGGTCTCTTGGGAGCTATTTGGGACATCTTGGGGGCCTCCTGGCCACCTCTTGGGGCCCTCTCGGGGCACCCTTGGGCGCCTTGGGAGCACTCTTGGGGCCATCTCGGAGGCGATCGATCAAACAAGAGGGAAGTTTAAATGAGGCCCCCCCCAAAAGACGCCAAAAGGGGGCCAAACCCATCGTAAAATCAATGATTTTAACTTCCTCGCCGGGGCCGTTTTGGACGCTCCGACCGCTCGCGAAACGCCCCGTCCAGTTCCAGGGGTTGCCGAGACCAAACAAGACCCGGCAAATACTTGTTCAGCTCCCGCCGCAATCGCCGCAGTCGCGAACGAAGAGGAGACGGGGAGAAAGAGAAGAAGTAGGAGAAGGAGAAGGACAGGGCGAACCGGGGGTCGCGCAGAGATTCTTGCCAGCCAAGAGCTCTTGGGGGGTGTGGCGGCAGGGCTGGAGAACTTCTGAGGTTAGCGCTGACCCCCGTCAGCGCTGAGCCCCCAAGTCTTTCTTCTTCCCAGCAACCAAGCAGGAGGAGAAGGCGACGGAGGAATCCGCTGCCCCCCTAGGGGGGCGATCCCGAACGCACAGCGCGGGCGAGGCCGACCGCGAGGCAAAAACTAATGAAAGCAAAACTTCAGAAAGCAGAAACTAGCGGAAGCAGAAACTACGAAAGCAAAAACTGCGAAAACAAAAGCGGCGAAAGCAAAAACTCGCGGAGCCCCGAACCCCAGGGAAACCAGAAAAAATGATACCGCTACCCCCCAGACGTCTCCTGGGGTGCTTTCTGACCAGAATTCCGACGCGAGTCCAGCGGTGGCGACGAAGGCCTCCCAAGAGGCCCACAAAGGGGAAGACGGGCGAAGGGTAGCAATGATGGGTACCTTCTCTTTTCCTCTTCCGAGCTGAGCCCCGAATTCTGCCTGCGCGCCCCACGGGCAGCGCACGGCCGCTGCGCCCAGCTCCTCCAGGGCGCGGGTGACGGCGGCCGGGGCTCCCCCAGTGAGCACCGGGGAGGCGCCGCACGCGGCCTCCAAGAGATCGGCGACCGAGCCGCCATCACGATACCGTGAGGGTTCGGGATGAGGAGCCCTGGGATTGGGGATCCAGGGTCTGAAAGCTGGTGGAACACCAATCGAGGCTTGGCCATGGATGATATGATCGCCACCTTCATGAGGCAAGGAGCCCTCCATGGTCTGAAGCCTCTTGGGCACATTGCGAAACAAACGCCTCCGCCGTAACACAGATATCGACGCGCCGCTTGTCCTCGACGCGCCCGAGTAGGCGACGCCGACACCACGGCAAACCTACGGCAAGCCCTGCGCCCCGCGCCCTAGGTCGACGAGGCCGGCGCCGCGGCAAACCCCACGGCAACCCCACCGCGTCCGAGGCGGCGTTTGCCCTGATGGCCGAGGCGCGCTACCCGAGACGTAAGGCCGCACGTCGGAACAAACGGCGCAACGACAGATGTTATTTACATTTGCGCCGTTGGATCCCGAGGTCGAGAAGGGCTGTGGTATGACAGGTGCTAGGATGCGCGGGGCACCAGAGTTCCCAGACCGTCTGCACCAGCATCACGCTGGAGCAAGGAGGCCTGGTCAATGGTGGTCACCCGACGATCTGATGTTCTCAACCCAGGCAATTCGGGATTATGGGGCCCGCTATCTGGCCCCGGGGCCATCAAAAATGGATCTGGGTGGTAAGCTACCCCTGGGGGGAGGGGCTGGGACCTCCGAGGCCGCGACGAAAGCCTCCCATTCCATGTTGCTGGCTCATGCAAATCGACGCTAACCGACGCTCATCGACGAGAACCCACGCTACGAGTCGACGCCACATCGACGCGAATCGACGCCGAATCGGCGTTTCCCCATCGATTGCCAGAAGCTCGCGCACGCTAGTGCACTCTGGAGACGGAGTTGCAAGCACACTCAAGGTTCCCATGATTTGCAACCGGACACCTCCTGAGACAGCTGGTCAGCTCACCGTCGCCAGTGCGGCACGAGCGCAGACTCCTTGGGCTGCAACGCGGGGGAGCGAATGTGCCGGCGCTGTGCACAGGCTCCGCGCGGGTGGCAGACTCAGCACGCGTCGGAGAGCAAACGCATCGACCGTCGGTTTTCCCGACGCTACCTAACAAGGGGGCCACCACGGAACTTGGACGCGGTCTCTCAAGTCCAGCAGACACAACGGCCTCATCAGGCACGGCCCACGCCGGGGCCACAACCCGAGGAATGCCTTCCTGGGCACACTTTTCGGTCTGCAGTGACTTGGGCCCAACACACGGTCAGACTAACGGCTGGACGCGTCCGTGGCTACTTACGGCAAAAGCACAGGAAGGGCAAGCCGTCAGGAGGAGCGGACCTGCCAGAGAATTCTCAAACCATAAAGACCTTCAATCAAGCGGCGCCAGAGGTCAGGCTCATAATCTCGACGACGGCGCCTTCCTGGGCACACGCAACGAACCGAACAGCGAAATGTTTCGACAAGACCTCGGAAATGAGCCTGCAGTGGGACTTCTGCACGCCCGTGCCGTCAGTCCACGACTGCAGCGCGTCGTGCCCAGCCATCGGGTCCGCAGGCTCTCCCGCGCCCCTTGTGATGACTGTTGTGCCGGGGTCCGGGCCCGACTGCCGAGTGCGGAGCTGCACGCTGACACGAGCCATTGCGAGGGCGTGCCCGCCGCGGACTGCTGCTTGGTGTACTGCTGCGCGGCGGCCGGGCGCTCGTGGTCCAAGCGCACATCGGCAGGCTCTCCGAGCGGAGAGTTCATCCGCACGTCAACAACCTCGGCGAAACGGGTGGTGGGGTGGTCCACGAGGCCCTGCTGCAATCCCGACAGGGCGCTCATGGCCGTCTGCCGTTGCTGCGCCGCCTAGCCCATTTGCTCGCCAGTGTCCACTGCCCCGCGGAGGCCAAAGGAGGTCCTCCGGGCCGACTCCAAAGTCACCCAGTGTCGCCCTCGGCTGGGTACTCTGGCAGCTGTTACGACCACAGCAGCTTCAACTGCAGAAAGATATTTGCGCCGCTCGCAGAAACCCGAGACAGCTTTAGTGTCGATCTGCCCCTGCGAATCTGGACGAAAACGGCTCTCGCCCCCCGCCCGTAGGTCTGTGCAGGAAAAGGAGGAGGCGGGCCGCAAGAACTAAGAGAGGGAAGAAAAGAAACACGCGGAAAAGGAAGAGCCAAGCGTAGGAGGAAGAGGGAGACGGAGCAGGATAATGCCCCATGCAGCGTTACTCCATGTCCTTGCCACGGAGGTGGGATCTGAGGGCAAGCCACTGGTCTGGTCTGCGCGCAGGAGGTGTACGAGTCTACCTTGTAGAACAGACCAAAGCGGCACAGCTCCAACCTTACAGGATAACCATCAGAGTTGTCTCGCCACAATCACCTAACGAAGCACGAAGCCCACATGTCACCGGTGAAGCTCGACTTGCGGTAGTCAATGGCTGCAGACTTGTTCCGTCATGGCGCTGGCGGTCGCTCAGCGCGCGGTGGCCTGGAACGCGTTGCGAAACGGCAAACTGGCACGGAGGTGATGATGCGACGCGCGGCTTCGCGAGGTGTGGGGACTGGGGGCCAGGCGGGCGGTGCACTGAATCGCACGGGGATGCACCACCTACGCCGCCGCCTGGCCTAGTCCCCGAAACGAAAAAGATCAGGGGCCCTCCCCCCGCGGGGGCCTCCTCGAAGAAGGTGTCCAAAAGCCCTGGGTCCACAGTCCAGGGCGCGCGGATGGCGTGCTCCTTGGCGCGCTCCGCGCGCCTCCGCGCCTCCCTGCGGACGCAGGCGGCGGCGCGGTTTGCCTCGATCCGAAAGCGTTGCGGGACCAATGACGGCGCCAACGACGGGTCGGAGGGGACGGAAAGAGGGGAGCGAGCGGGGCTGGCAAAAAAGGCCGAAGCATCCACGCTCTGCATATCAAGATATGCCTGTTCGTCATCCACCTGCACGTGGCCCAGCTCATAGGGCCTCGGAGCTGGACTAGGAGCTGAGGTCTCTATGGCCTCGGCGTAGAGGTCATCAACATATTCACGGAGATACCTTTGAGATTATGGATCAACTCTCCTGCGTTGTTTCGCACGAGCAAAACCGGCAAAGGACCAGGAAACGCTTGTCCGCCTCCTCGCTCCAGGGAACTTAAAAGAAACGGAGACCTTCTAAGACATCCTCAGAAACAGGCTGGCAAATCACATCCGGGTCCTCATCTGGACTGGGGAGAAAAGACAAAACCGAAAGATAAACAGCGCGAACGATGGCCTGACACAGGCAAGCCTGGTAGACCTTTTGTACAAGCTGTGTTAAAAAGGATGTTGCCTACCCTTGCCCAGCAAAGTCATGTGCACAGAACGTGCGTGAGAGCATTTGCCCCCTCCAGGAGTAGACTTCGACTGAACTTGGAGCGTTTGCATTCTGATGCCGATCTACCCACCGTGGACCATTCAGTGTCTGGGGCCATGTGCTCACATTGGTCAAAATCCGTAGCACTCGAATGGGCAGCTGAAACTAAAGCAGCGAGCAGGGGGGGCTACGGAAAGAGGTGGGGGCGTGGGGGAGCCAGTCGGGGGGGGGGAAGGGGTGATCACCCCACTCTGCCGTGCCAGCACACAAGTGCTCAGCAAAAAGGGCAACCAGGGCGAAGAACAACTGAGAGCCGACCTGCAACTGTTCCCCCTGCATGGGTGTGCAATCTGGAACTCCCCAAACGTGCGAGCTAAGGTCGTCCTGAGGGGCGGGGGGCCCCCTTCGTACCACCGCGAGATGATGGCGGGCAAGGCGCTCAGGACGTGAATTTCTTGACGCCAGTGCTGCGGCCCAGGCTCCAGTCAGGAGTCATGCCAAAGGGCAGCCCTAGGGCTGCTCACTGAGAACCTGCCAGGGCGCAGGGGACGGAATCTGGGCGGTTCTCGAGGAAGTTTGGGCGCTCCCGGGGAGATGCACGGAGCGAGGCTGAGCTGTCTGCGGGAGCGGACCAGTGAGTGAACTGCAGCAGCCAGGCTGGAGGACGACACTAGCAACTTCCCCCCCAAAAAAATAGCGACAGGCGCATTGGCTAAGCTTCGAAACTTGTTCGCCACGCTCCGAAACACAGGAGCCGTGAAGCCTACTGATATGCTCCTCGACGGTGTCCCTCCCGGTCACGGGGCGCCAAACATGCACCGTATCACGCTCCTGGCGTGTCCGGCGAATACGGGGTGTTGCTTGATGTAGGAGAACAAACAATGACGTAAGCAGAACACATCTCAGGTGTTATGTTTACGTCATTGTTTGCTCCCCTATGGTGCTCAGAACACGACACTGCCCACAGGGCGCACCAAGAACGCAGAACTGGTACCCAGCGATTCCGAGCTCAGGCGGACGTCGCAGGCGAGAACCGAGGCAGAGCTAAAACGCACCCCACAAAGGGGGGGCTGCCAAGAAGCGCAGCGACGAGGCAGAAGGCAACTACAGACAAATCGAGCAAGATTCCTCCTTTCGTTGTAATCGTCGTCGTCGTCCTCCTCCTCCTCCTCCTCCTCCTCCTCCTCCTCCTCCTCCTCCTTCTCCTGATCCTCCTCTCCTTCCTCCTCCTCCTCCTCCTCCTCCTCCTCCTCTCCGCCTCCTCCTCCCTCCTCCTCCTCCTCTCTCCTCCCTCCTCCTCCTCCTCTCATCCTCCCTCTCCTCCTCCTCCTCCTCTCTCCTCCTCCTCCGCCTCCTCCTCCTCCTCCTCCTCCTCCTCCTCCTCCTCCTCCTCCTCCTCCTGCATGGGCGGGAAGCCGACTCCCAAGAGCAACTGGCCCCACCCTGCAGGCTGTGCTACAGCCGCAGAAAGGAAAAAAGAAGCGAGGAAGAAGCGAGGGAGGAGGAGCGGGCCCCTTCCCGGCTGGCGTCCCTCAGGGTTGCCTGGGGTGGCCCGGGGCTTCTTGGGGGGGCCACGGCAGCGTTCGTCACCGAACTCCAAGGTCATCAGAGTCGAGTTCAAGTCGAGGAAGAAGAGGAGGAGGACGAGGAGATGGTGGCGGTGGAGGGGGAGGAGGAGAAGGAGGAGGAGGAGGAGGACGAGGAGGAGAAGGAGAAGGCAGGAGGACGACGACGACGACGACGATGATGACGACGCCCTTCCCCTCGATCGACCTGCGCCTGCAGCAGCGCCACGGGGTCGATGTCCCCTGGCGCGCCCAGCGCCGCCGAGGCGGCGCCGTCTCGAGGGGCGGGCGGGCCGGGGGGGTGGGGGGACGAAAGCTCCTGGAGCCAGGGGGCGAAAGAACGACGAAACAAACGACCACCGCTGCGGACACAAGCGGGCGAACCGACGAAACGAGACGACCGAACGGCGGAGCGAACGAACGACCGGGTGGGCGACGCCGTGGCCTCCGTAGCCTGCCCGTGGCTGGAGCGGGAGGGCAACGGCTGGAGCGGGGGGCTGAAGGCGGATAGGGAA